CGCGCCTCCTCTCTCTCTCTCTCTCTCTCCCCTCCACTCCCCTCCTTCCCTCCCTTCCCCCTCTGTCCCTCCTTTTATCTCCTTTTCTTTTTTCCTCTCATCCTTCTCCTTTATTTGTCTGTTTTTGATTTTTTAATCAGAGCTTAAAGATGCACAAAGAAAAGAGAACAAAACAACATGTTTATGGGAATATTAAAAAAAAAAAAGAGAGAGAATAAATAAAACTGCTACTAATTTCACGCAGACTTTGATAGGCACGATCGCGTCTCACGAATGATTGCCCACGATGTATCAAATTAATTTTGGAATAAGTATAGAAGCAGGAAATTAGAAACAAAACTGAATTACGAAAAACGAGCGTCGATCGTGGTTCGTTACGGTCACGATCATTGTTACAGTGGACATCGAATATTTTAAGAAAAAAAAAAAGAAAAAAAATTGAGTAAAGTAAAAGGAAATTTAAAAAAATAACACATACATACACGAACACATATATACAGGTTATCGATACCTTGCTGTTATCGAAGTTTCTGTATGCTCGGTACCACCGTTCTCGTTATTGCCGTTTTCTCACCCCATTGTCATCCTCGCCATGTATTGTATGTTTTACGTTTCTTCTGCCCGCCGTCGAGATCGCACCGATCATCCGAATGAATTAAGAAAAAAAAAAAAACGAGATAAAAAATAGAAAAAAAAAAAAAAATAGAAACTCGATTCGTCACTCTCGTCCCGTCCCTAAATTGCATTAAGCACCTTTTTAAGCTCCGATTGTTCTTACTCTCTGTACTCTATATTTAAACGCATTTCGCGTCTATTTAAGATTGTGTAGAATGTACAAAATAATATCGTGCGGAAAGCGAAGAACGAAAAAAAAAAAAAAAAAAAAAAAAAAGAAAATTGATAGTTTCGATAGCCAAGACAGAAGAGAGTGAAAATTAATAAAAATGTAATGAAATGCGCTTTTCCTCTCTCGATAAATGTTGTTATCGGATAAATCAAGTGTTACGAGAGTAATAGAGAGGGAGAAAAAGAATGATTCCATGAGAATGGTTTCTCATGAAGATCGAAATATGAGAAGATTAAAAAAAAAAATGCCGCCATGATCAGCTTATTCTGCTATAAAAGCTGTTCTCAATGCGTCAGTTCACTTGAAGCCGATTTTGAAAAATATAGTTGAATTCTTGTAGCGTCAAAGTTGGAGAAGAAAAAAAAAAAAATAAACTGTCCTTGTATATACCTCGCGACGATCGTCACCGGTGCAAATCCTTGTAAAATCGGCCACTCTGCTCCGGGGACGTCTCTGTACTCTTTGTGTTTTCTTTCGACGTTGCTACGAGCAAGAATAAAGAAGATGGAAAAACGAAGAAGAAGGAAAAGAATAAAATGTGTGGATTCGTTTAACATAAAAGTGAAAAATCATTTATGTAGCGGTATGATATTGCACCGATCCGTAACGTCATTTTTCGTCTCGTATTTTGAACTGATTATTAATCTTATAACGAGATTGAGTCGTCTAGTGTAAATATATTATATATGTATGTCTGTATATATATATATATATATACCTACATATGCATATATAGAGACATAATCATGTCACGTATATATTTATGTATGTATGTATGTATGTATGTATGTATGTATGTATAGATGCATGTATGCATGATGTATGTATATATGTATGTATGTATGTATGTATGTATGTATGTATGTATGTATGTATGTATGTATGTATGTATGTATGTATGTATGTATGTATGCATGTATGTATGTATGTATGTATGTATGTATGTATGTATGTATGTATGTATGTATGTATATTTATATATACATACATATCTTATGATATTTTGAATTTTTAATCAGTTATTGATTTATAGGACCGTTATTGTACTCACAATTTTTTTGTTATGTATAATAATTGACATAGAAAATAATTTATTTCTTTTTTATGCTATTTTATCTTTCAATGTTTTTGTAAACAAAAAGATTTTTATAAAGCAAAGATATCATTACAAGTTAAATTGATTATAAGGACAAAAATGGTCCTATAGATCGATTGAATAATCCAATTTTTTTTTTTGAAAAATTTAGATGAATAATCACAAAATATTTATATAGTCTGTCTAGAGATATAATGAGGTTGTAAAATCAGTCCAATGAAAATTTACAGATATTTTAAGTATCGAATGTTGTTAATATTGAAAAGTATAGCATCAATTGTGTTGTCGATGAATACAATAATTTACAACTTTTACCACACTATAATCTCTAGACGAACTATATATCTTCGTAAAGTAAATTTCATCGCTTTACTAGAGAATTAGAAAAAATGGTGATAGAGGATGCGATTTCGAAACCCGCGACACTAATTTCTTTTAGATTTAAAAATCGGAATCAGCGTCCTCATCCCTGATTAAATTGTTCATCGGTATTCCCAGATTGCAAGGTTAATCCTTTTGCGGCATTTAAATATTCTTACACAGAATTTATTGTTAACCGTTGTCTTCTGTCCTTGTTGAATCAATAATAATAATAATAATAATAATAATAATAATAATAATAATAATATAATGATAACAATAATAATGATGATGATAATAACGATAATAATAATTATAAATAATA